AATGCCCCAAAATAACTTTTAAAATAGTATTTATCAAACTGTCTGGAGCCTCTTTCCCCCAAAAGTAGAGCATCCAACACAATTAATATACAAGATGTGACTTGAAGATTACTGATTTTTAAATGCCTCCCCAGAATTTATATATCAAATTGAACATTTTCTCCTTCAGATTAGTCACCTTTTGACACTTACACATTCACCCCAAATACGATCACTAATTGTCAAGGCCCAGGTACAAGTAAAATGCGGGGCATATGAGTAAGTCTTAATAAATATTCTGTGATTGAATGGGTCCATGAATGAATGAGTGAGTGAGCAAGTGATAAAAGAACGATAAATGAATTTAGAACCTCCCTTTTAAGGACTGCCTTCCCAGCCAGTAACACTTTCATTTTAATATCTACACTAATGGCAAAGATTTGTGGTTTGGGGTGAACTGGATTAATGAAAACAGTCAAAAATCATTTAGAATAAGCCTTGGGAATAAGAGACACAATCCACTGGGATAAGGACACTTAGGAAAACACAAGGCATGATCAAAATATTACAAGTCTGACTTTCTCATAATTGGGCTCTGAAGGCAATTCCAGAAATGATTCCAGCATCAACAGCTCTGGACTAGGCATGTCAATTGCAGGGTGACTGATTAGAAAGGCTATGCTCATTTGAATGTAGGAAAACTGGCATGCTAATTTTCTATTTCTCTGATTAGGCTTATACATTTATGGCCAAGGTTTATATAATGTTTTATAAATGTGATTGGGAGCAAGGGCCTAGAACTTTATTCTAATCTTAAATCCACAAAACCTCATATTTCCCATCTGTATGATGAAGAATCAAACTAGATTCCTATAACCTCTTCTAGTGCTAACATTCAATAATTTTATAAATAAATATGTTAAACATTGTTCACATATCTTCAACAATTTTAACTAACATTTCAGAGGTTCTGTATTGAAGGAACTGTCCCTTAAACAACCCCAAGGCCTTAAGGGAAATCATGCTTTAAGCTGAAGACCACGAGGTACATGGCTGCCAGAGCAAGATAAATGAGACAATCTCTCTCTCTCTCTCTCTCTCTCTCTCTCTCTCTCTCTCTCTCTCTCACACACACACACACATCTCTGTCCCATTGGCGGTAAACTGTCTCTGTTCCCAAACAGGGAAGATTATAGAGGTCAACATGGTAATTCATGGTTCACATTCATGTGAAATCACTTATATAACATATACAGAGTAAAGCCACTCTTCAAATGATTTGTCAACTTTTCACTAAGTAGTTACAACTTCAAAAGCAGAGGAAGTGCCTTCAAATGAAAGTATGACAGCGGGCTCAAGGATGTCCTGCTTCCGATTGTGTCCGAAATATTTTATTCTGTAGATTCCAGGCTGGGCAGTGTCTGGAATATGCCATTCTATCGTCGTATTGCTCTGACCCAGTAATCCCTTGTGCCAATGAAAACTGTTGGTAGAAAACAAATGAGCAAAATCCAACTTTACTCTTAAAAATGTGTAATTAGAAAAATGCATAATTATTCATTTAATGAATATTCAGGAAGTACCTACAATGAGCAAGGCACTATTTGGATATTGAGGATACAGCATTGAACAAAATAGACATAAATTATCTATTTTCTAGAAGAGAAACTTAAAAAGAAACCACAGCTATTTGTAGAAATATCTTTACTTGTTCTACCTTTCTAACTACCTAAACTCTATCCATCCCAGGAATCCTTCCTGATACTCAGAACAGGATGTCTCCTGCTTTAGAACTGCTACAGCATCCTTTTAGCCCTTATCACACTCTGCGTCAACTGACACTTCTTTTCACATCTCATTTGTTAAAAATACACATTTAGGGAGGGGGGGGCAAGGGCAACATACGTAACCTAAACATCTGTACCCCCATAATATGCTAAAATAAAAAAAAAATGAGGAATAAAATCCTAGCTCTTCCACTTCCTAAAAAATAAATAAATAAATAAAAATACACATTTAGTGAGCATATGTGCCAGACTCTATTCTAGAAGTACTGCAGATACGGTAGTGAGCAAGAGAGACACGGTCCAAAGTTTCATGCAGCTTATGTTCTACTTGGGTGGAGATGGAAATAAAGGCCATAAACAAACCAATACATTTTAAAATTTTAAGAATGGCAAGTATAATGTAGAAAACAAGACAGAAGCCTCTCTAAGGAGATGTCATTTAAACCGAGTCTACAGAGACCTGGAGGAAGAACATTCTAGGAAGAAGGAACAGAGAACACAAAGTGTCCAAAGCAGGAACAAACTTGGTGTGGCCAAGAACAGGTCTGCTGGTACAGTGAACTGTGAAATAACGGTTGAGACGAGAGAAACACATGGGGTCAAATCATGTTGGCCCCTGCAGACCACAGAAGAGAGTTCAGATATTCTTTTTTTTTTTTTTGAGACAGAGTCTCACTCTGTCGCCAGGGCTGGAGTGCCGTGGCGTCAGCCTAGCTCACAGCAACCTCAAACTGCTGGGCTCAAGGGATCCTTCTGCCTCAGCCTCCCGACTAGCTGGGACTACAGGCATGCACCACCACGCCC